CTGCATTTTGGAAACGGCCCGCCCTCCTTCCCCGAAGCTCTTCGCAGTATGTGCTCGGCGATCCGGCCAGAGCCACATTTCGAAAACGGTTCGCCGTCTTTTCGTGACATGTTCTTAACCATCACGCGCCAGGATCGCAAACCGCGAGGGAGTCTTCAGCGAAACGCCGGGCCCGCCCTACCGACCCGTTTCGGGATGCGACAGGGAAAAGTTATTTAGGATGTTGCGTTATGGTGGAGGAGAAGGCGCCGGAGGAGGATGGAGGAGGAGGTGGGAGGATTGCCGAGGGAGGATGGAGGAGGAGGCAGCAGGCAGCAGGTGGAGCACGAACAGCATGAAGACGAGGAAGAGGAGGACGACGGCGGCGACGACGACGACGAGGGCGACGCCGACGACGCCAGCCCCGTCCTGTGTCTCCCTCGAGCGCCGGCCGAGGCCGGTCGTCAAGTGCCTCCCGGCGGGGGTGGTCCCGCGCTGCGTGCCGCAGGGCGCGGGCGGCAGCTGCAGCTGCATCGACCACCAGGGGCGCGCCGCGGGGGGCCGAAATCCGCGCGGTTGGAGCCGGTGGAGTGCTCGGGTTCCAGTTTCGAGAAGTTGGGGTGCGATGAGTGGGGGGGGGTGAAGAAAGGTGCATCTTTTGTGCTTTACACAGGCCCCCTGGAGCCCAAAAGGGGCACGAGAGGTGTACGTTTCTCCCCCCTTCCATCCATCCGCCCCTCCATTAATTAACGCCCCAGGATTTTTGGGACGTGTTCCCAGGTTTTCGAGGACATGAGTAGTTCAATTATTGTGATTTTGTTTCGGTTTCGGCTCCTGGGGCCTTTCATCGGGCCCTGGGGCAATCCGAAGTGGATGTGGAGCGAGAAAAGCTGGGCTCGGGGAAGGGATCAAGAGCTTTGAGGCCGTGGATTGACATAATCCTGTAGGAGGATGTCTGGGTGCGTTGGTTCTCGGGTATTGTCCAGCCGCGGGATGCTTTCCAGCAGCTGCGCCTCGCCCCAAGCATTCTGGGGAAGTCCCGATCCTCTTGAACGACCGTCGGAGACCCGATGTATAACTTGAGGATCAGAAGTGGGGAGGAAGAGGAGGAGGAGGAGGAGGAGGAGGAGGAGGTGGAGAAGGAGGAGAAGGGATGCGGGGGAGGAGGGGATGAGCCAGGAGGAGTGAGGAGGACGGAGCAGAGAGCAGAGGAGGACGGAGCAGAGGGGATGAGCCGGGAGGAGTGGTTCGAGACGAGAAGTTTCTTCCGAGTTCCCGCACACCCACAAGTCGGTGGGAGGGCCAGGACGTGAAGTTTGGGGGATGAGGAGAGAGGAGGTTGGAGAAGAGAGGAGGATCGAGGGGGGTCTCATTTCTTTCTCTCTCTCTCTCTTGTTTTCTCTGTGTGTCTCGTTCTTAGCTGTGCGGCGCATGGAAGATGTATTGTTTCGGTGTTTGAATTCCTAGGTGGGAGAAGGCAGGAGGGAGGCGGGAGGTGTGATTCGGCTAGAGTGCGATGTACAAGGAGGGGGGGCTGGGAGTAGGGGAGAGGATGAAGATGCCGTCCTTCTCGGTTTCGCATGTATCCGCTCGTAGCCCTGATGTTGCGGTGTGAGTTTGAGAATTTGTCGGAGATTCGGTCACGGTCTAGGTTCGGCCCCATATTCGCGTTTTGTGTTGAGATTCGTGTTAAGCGCTTAATCGTCGCTTCACCCTCAGATTTGTGCGCGTGGTATTGGGTCCGACTTTGGAGCGCCGCGCCTGGAGCCAAAGTGGACTTGCCACAACCCTCAGACGTAAATGGTTGGCCGAATCATTGACTGGTTGGCAGACTGACAGTTCGGCTTTGTGGGGCTGGCTAGTCCGCAAGTGGGCTGGCGGGTTGGTGCGGGGGTCCATTCTTGTCATAGTGGGTCGTTGTTGTTCGGAACTTTGGTCAATACGTAGGTTTTTCTTGCGAGCCATCGTTTTTGTTTCCTGTTGCGCGGATCAGGAGTTGTGTTGGCGCGTATGTTACGAGTGGCCGTGGCTTCGGGATCACGCGCAAGGTTTTTACGGGGGATATTGGTTTCGGGAGCGAGGGACTACGTTGGTTTGCAATGGATCGGGGCCTCGGAAGTGCGGGGAACATGTTTTACAAGTGGCCGTGACATCGGGAGCGTAGTTTGACGATCGATTGTGGCATTTGGAGCGCGGGTCCGCCGATTATCATTAACCGCAGGAGGTCTTTCATGTTGCACCTCCCATAACTTCATGTTTTGCAATTATGTGCGGGGACCAGCTGCCGAATTCTTTGCCCAATATTGTTCGCCATGCTGGCCATTGTTGATGGGGGTACTTCCCATTGCGGAGATCATCCCTGGGGCTACTTGCAGACGAGAGGAATCCCGTGCCTGTTTGTATGAGGCTTGTAGTGCGGGACCGTAACCTTCCTCATCCTCCTCCCTCCTTCTCATCTTCTCCTCCATCCTTTTTCTTTAGGTATTTGGGCGTTGACCTGTTCCTGCGTCTTCCTCCTGTTCTTCCTCGATCCGGTGTCGTTACCAGCCGTCCTTGCCCGCCAAGTTCTGTCCGCTGGGGTGTCGATTGTCCGATGTCCGTCTTAGGCTCGCCTGAGTAAATTGGTTTGTGCTTGAACGTAGTCTGCTTAGTAGTAGTATCAGTGGTAGAGAAATACGGAGTAATGGTATCAGTAGTCGTAGTTGTGGTAGTCGTGGTGGTAGACGACGACCACGACCACGACCGCGGTTGCGGCGGAATAGTCAGTTGCCGAGTATTGTTGGGCGACCCTCAGTTAAGACAAGACGCAATCAGAGCGACAGGACCGAACGGCTATTTACTGTTCCTGGGTGCGTGGATGAAGTGAGGTTCCGCGGTGCGGATTGGTGTGTCGCCGCTATTGTTGAACCCTCATGCGCAGTAGTTTTTCATGTGTAGTGCCCCCCTCGGGGCTCTCGCCCTGTTTTGTATCATGGAGACTCGTCCTGCTCAAACTGCGATTCTGGGCTCCGACTGATACTTCTTCACGATGTACTTCAAAATCGAGTTATCGCTTGGGAATTCCTCACAATTGATGCAGTCATCGCGCTCTCGCGTGGGACTCGCTCCCAACGTGTTTAGATGCCGCGCCCTCGACACTCAGGAATTACGCTCTCGCTTGGGCCTTTCGAACGATTCATTTGGGACTCGCGCTGCCGCTCAAGACCTCCCCGCGATTTCTGCAGGACTCACGCTTCAGCAACCCGCCTGCTCGACGTGGCTGCCTGGGCGGACCCGCCTTCCCGACCCGCCCGCTAGGGTCCGCCCGCCCGATCCGCCCGTCGGGTTCTGCCACGTGTTTTCTGCTCCTAGCCGCCGTCCTGGCAATGTCTTTCGTTCTCCATCCTTCTCCCCTCCTCTTCCATCCGTCTTCTCGTCCCCTGTTTCAGGGGCTGCACCAAATACACGTGGCCAGTAGGGGGGATATACCCCCAGGGAGGTACGATCGAGGACGAAGAGGGCGGGTACCGAGGGTTTGGGATATACGTATTGGATAGCACGCGGGCAGGGAGGAGCGAACAATTTTAGATTGTTTGTTGCCGGTGTTATAGTTGTTGTTGGTGTTGTACTCACTGTTGTTGCTAGTGTTGTGGTTGGTGTTGGTGTTATTGTTGTTGATGCTTTTGCTATACCACGTGCTTTCTGCTTCTAGCCCTCCTGCTAATGTATCTTGTGCTCCATCCTTCTCCCTCTCCCTCCCATCCGTCTTCTCTTCCCCTGTTTGAGGGACTGCGCTAAATGCACGTGGCAGGTAAGGAAGATATACCCCCAAAGGGGTAGGATCGAAGACGGAGAGGGTGGTTCCGAGGATTTGGGATATGTGTTGAGTGGCATGCGAGTAGATAGGAGCGATCAGTATTACACTGTTTTGTTTTCCGGCGGTTGATGTTGGGATTGTTTGGTGAACAGTATTTCGTCTTAAAAGAATTATTATTGTTGGGACCCCTGGTGCGCGACCTCTGCGCCGCGCCTAGGCCGCAGCTACATTTTCATCATTTTTTCGCGAAAGCTTCAGAAAAGTGGATGAGCTCCGGATCCGGTTTTTTGTTGACGCTCGTTTTCCCTTGCAAAAAACAATAGAAAATGAAAATTCTTGTTCTTACTTGATCAAATTGCAAGAATCCCTTGCAAAAAATAAGGTAAAGTGGACATTCGTGCGCGCAAGACGAAATCCTTCCAAAACCTTAGGTTTCGTAACGATTTTAACATAAAAACATCAAAAACCCAATGGTTTTTTAAGAAAAAATTGTCAAAATGTCCTTCCGCGCGCGCTGTCCGAATCCCACAAAACCAATGGTTTTTCAACATTTATGTTACATGAGCTCGCGCGAGCTACTTTTTCTTGTTCTAACATAATCAAATTTCAATAATCCCTTGCAAAAAATAAGGTAAAGTGGACATTCGCGCGCGCAAGACGAAATCCTTCCAGAACCTTAGGTTTCGTAGCGATTTCAACATAAAAACATCAAAAACCCAATGGTTTTTCAAAAAAAAAATGTCCAAATTTCATCCCGCGCGCGCTGTCCGACTCCCACAAAACCAATGGTTTTCCAACATTTATGTTACATGAGCTCGCGCGACCTACTTTTTTTTGTTCTAACATAATCAATATTCCCTTGCAAAAAAAAGTAAAGTGGACATTCGCGCGCGCAAGACCAACAAAAAACACGACGATCTCAGGAACTTGCCCCAAAAATGTGACCAACTCCGCTCTCTCTGTCTCTCTCTCTGTCTGCTCTCTGTCTCTCTCTCTGTCTGTCTGTGTCATGTATTGTATGTCACAATTGCAGGATGCTGGGCACACGCGCGCCCCGAATAAGTGACCAAGTTCTGTGGGTGTGTACCCCACGCCAGTGTAGTAGCCACGGTCGTCCGCACGCCACGAAGTGAAGTGTCCCAACGTCATAGGGCGGGAAGCTGGGTTTGGGTGGTCGCGAAGAGTCGTTTGGATATTTGGTAGAGCTTGAACTGCCCCCCCACGAAGTGGGGGTATTGTCTCGCGTCGCATGAAAACCCTGGCACTGGTGAGAACACTGAACGTTCGGGTAAAATGATTGGTGTTGTTGTTGTTGCTGCTGTTCGTGCTGCGGTTGCTGATGATGTTTTGTTTGGTGCTGTTAGTGTTGTTTTTGCTGTTGATGGTGATGCTGTTGGTGTTATTGTGATTGTTGATGTGGTTGTTTGTTGTGTGTTGTTGTCGTTGTCGTTGTTTGTTTGTTTGTTATTTGTTTTTTGTTTGATTGGTTGCCGTGGAGTTCCCACTTCTAGTGAACAACTGTTGTTGATTCCCCCTCCCTGGTAATCATTGTATATGTTCACTTGATGTATTTCTCCCAGGACTCGCACCCTGTTGTTTACAGGGGAAGACGAGGTGTCACCAAACTGCGCCCTTGGCTCCCGGTTTACAGCAACAGCGGCTCCCACCTGATATTCCCTCACGTCTTATTTCTACATGGTGCTCTCGCGCGGGACGTCATCGCTCTCGCGTTGGATCTCCTCGCAAATCATTCAGACGCCGTGTCCTCGATTTTTGGGAATCATGCTTTCGCTGTGGGTTCCATGACGATTTACTTTGGAATCGCGCTGTCGCTCGAGACTTCCTCGTGATTCATGCAGGACGCACGCTTCAGCAACCCGCCTGCTCGGCTTGGCCGCCTGGGCCCGCCTTCCCGACCCGCCTGTTAGGGTCTACCCGCCTGATCTGCCCGTCTGGTTCTGCCACGTGTTTTCTGCTCCTAGCCCTTTCCTGCTATTTTTTTTTTTTGTTCTCTCTCTCTCTCATGTTCCATCATCCTCCCCCTCCGTGTCTCTTCCGTCCATCAGTCTTATCTTCCCCTGCCATGGGAGCTGCACGAAATACACGCTGCAGGTAAGGAAGAACTTCCCCTCAGACGGTACGGTCGAAGACGAAGAGGGCGGGTATCGATGGTTTCGGTATATGAGGTACACGTGGTGACTGGCACGCGAGCGCATTAGAGCGAACCGTATTTCACTGAGTGTTGTTGTGGTTGAATTCTCAGTTCTAAATAAAAGATATTCTTGATCCCCCCTTCCGGTACCCATTGTATTTTTCAAATGAAGTGCCTTCCTCCAGACTCGCACCCTGTTTCGTTATAAGTTTTGTGCCACCAAGCTGTGATGTCACGCTTCAAACTACAAAATCAACGGCTCCCGCCTGATATTTCCTCACGGTGTATTCCCGAATCGCGCTCTCGCGCAGGACGCCCTCACAAGTTATGCGGGGTTCGCGCTCTCGCGTGAGACTTCTTCGTAATTAATTCAGACTTTCGACACTCTGGAGTCACGCTCCCGCTTGGGCCTCTCTCGCGATTTACTTCGGAATCGCGCTATCGCGCGAGTTCCACTCGCGATCGATGAAGTACTCACGCTTCAGCAGCACGTCCTCGACCTGGCCGCTTGGGCCCGCCTTCCTGATCCGCCCGTCAGGGTTTACTCGCCCAATGGGCTCGTTTGGTTTTGCCACGAGTTTTCTGCTCTTAGCCCCGCTCCTGCTGATCCTGTATTCCATGTTTCTCCCCTCCCTTTCCAGCCGTCTTCTCTTCCCCTGTTGCATGGGCTGCACAAATTACACGTGGTAGGTAAGGAAGATATGCCCGCAGAGGGGCAGGATCGAAGACGAAGAGGACGGCACCGAGGGTGTCGGAGATACGTGTTGAGTGGCACGCGAGCAGGTAAGAACGAACAATCTTAAACTGATTGTTGTTGTTGCTGCTGTTATTGGTGTTTTTGGTGTTGCTGTTGTTGTAGTTGTCGTTGTCGTTGTTCGGTTGGTTGTTTTTGTTTGTTGGTTTGTTGTTTGTTTTGGTGTTTGCTTGTTTGCATGCTGTTACATTCTTCATTCCGAAAGAGTCAATAGTGGTAAACTTCTTATTTGTTCAATCACAGTGTTTCTCGTGGAGATCGCACTCTTTTTTGTACAAAGGGAAAGTCAGGTGTCACCAAGTTGTGCCCCTGGCCCTCCGTTTACAACAACAACGACGGATCCCGCCTAATACATCCTCACACTGTATTCCCCAGTCGCGCTCTCGCGCGGGACGTCATCACAGTGTATACAGGGATCGCGCTCTCGCGTGGCACTTCTTCGCAATTCATTCAGACGCCGCGCCCTCTATCTGCAGGAATCACGCTCTCGCTGTGGATTTTCTCACCGTGTATATGGGAATCGTTTGTCATTTCTTCGGGATTCATGCAGGACGCACGCTTCAGCAACCCGTCTGCCCTTGTCACCTTGTCTTTTCTTTCCATCCGTCCTCTTTTCCCCTGCCTTCGGAGCCTACGATCGAAGACGAAGAGGGCGTGTATCCAGGGTTTGGGATATACGTGTTGACTGGCACGTGAGCAGAATGGAGCGAACAGTCTTAGACTGATTGTTGTTGTTGTCGTCCCATTCGCGACCCGGCCCGCCACCCACCCGCGACCCATTCGCGATCCACCCCGCGACGCACCCGTTACCCACCCTCGATCTTCCCGCGACCTTCCGGCGACCCATTTGCGACCCATCCGCAACCCACCCGCGACCCACCCGCGACCCACCCCAGCACCCACCCGCGACCTGCCCGCGACACACCCGCGATCCACCCGCGGCCCACCTGTGACCCACCCACGACCCACCCGCATCGTACCCGCGACCCACCCGACGCCCGCCCCATCACACTTATCCGCAACTGCGGGGTACGACAATTGTTTGCCCATGGTGAGGCTATGGATCGTGGCCTCGGGAGCGCGGACCCATGGTGACCATACCCGTGGAGCGCGGAGACATTGTATTGTTGACGTTCGGCCGAGTACCCGGAGAGGCATTCTTCGGTGCCCAGATGGTCGCGTGCGTTCTCTTATATCTTCCTGAGTTCCCGATGCTCTGGGAATAATGCCACATCAGATCGTTGTTGCCACGCTGTGTATGCTCTTGCAATGCTGCGAACTGCGTGGATGTCTCGGTTAGAATTCAGCTGTTCGGGTATTGAGGCCTCAGCCGCGGAATTTTGTGGCCCACACATTGGGGCCGGCAGATATCGTGTTGTTGGGGCTGTTTTTTTTTTCCAATCGGGCAGATGGCATCGGCGGGGCAATTCCTATGGGTGTGTGGGGGACCGAGAAGTGCCTACAAGGGCCGTAAGCGGCAGCTAAGTTGCCACCGCGGGCCAGACATGGGCACGAAAGGTGTACGCGTCTTCCCCCCAGGGTTAACGCCCCCCCGTTCACGACACGAACACCCGAGAGCCGTTGAGTTGGGTTTCGCTTGTCGCCCAAGGTGGGACAGGTGGACGGCCGTGGCGGTGTTTGCTATCGTCATCAACGGGTATGCGACAGGACTTGGCGCCCTTTCAGGTAGTGTTCTTGCGATGGGTCTACCGATGGCCAGGGTTAGCGTGAGCCCCCCCCCTCTGCCCCCGAGAACCCACTCTTGTCATTGCAGTTCTGACGGGGGCCCGATTCCTAGATGCGTACCCGTGACGGACGTTGTTTGGGATCGCACATGGATTTGCGCAGAGTTGCGAGGACTCTCAGGTTATCGCCTGTCCGCCTCATCCCCTCCCCCTGGGTAATTTGCGCGAGTGTGAATGATGGGAAGAATAGGGAAGTCAATGGCGCTCTGGCAGCGCGGGATGCAGTGGGAGTCGCAGCCGAAGAGTTCAACTGGGGGTGCACCTCGCTGCCCCATCGATCCTGAGTTGTCCCATGCCCAGGTTGGGTGCCTCTGCTAGTACAAGAGCCGATGCTGGTATTCGTATTTGGTTTGCCAGCTCTATGTTCAGTGGTCTTGCGTCTTGCTGAGCGAATGGTCCATCGCGGTGGGTGGTTCAGACCGTGACCGAGAATTCTGGGGAGCGCAACGATATTCGACATGTGATTGATCTCCGCCGCAATCAGATGCGTCTGGCTCTTGCTCAGCTCCTCCTCCTGCCCCAGTGCAGCAAGCATGTATGGGCCTTGTTGGCTTTAGACGCGCCCTGGGCATGTTGGTACCTTTTTCAATTCGACAGATCGACGCTGCTTGGTTGTTTCAGTGCTGGCAGGTCTCAAAATACAAGGTAGCTACCGCCAAACTCATTAATTAGCTGTTACCCGCGTGGCCGCGCACTCTTGTATACCCAATTGCATACCACACAAATGTATGTACACATTGTGATGCCATGCCCAACTGCAATTGTTTACGCATGTACCTGTGTCATAACCGACGGTACTAATGATGATCGTACTTGGTGAGGTTCTTGGCATGAAAGTATAGCAAGCATCGCAGTGCAGGCGGTACTCAGCATAGACATGACTACATATTATTGAATCCATAACTAATGCGAGATAGCACTGATACGGATGAGATTGGTCAATGGCACAGTGTATCGCAACTGAACCCAGTTTTTGTCAATAGTCTTCGTATTGCACCTGCCACGGGCACGTGTTAAGGCATCACGGTTGCATCTTGAATTTTTCTGTTGTCTTTTGAAGCCTTCTCGCGTGTCTTGGAAAGCTCGTGGGCCGTTTTGGAGGCCCGTTGGACCTTTCTGTGGGTTTCTTGTGGCCCTCTTTGATCATTTGGGGTCCTGTTGGGCGGGGCCACCGCCCTAGAGGCCAATGCGACACACCACGGTGGCGCCCAAGAGCGCCCCGGAACGCCTGGGAAATTGGGGGTTCGGGCCCTCGGGGACGTGCACAAGCCCTGCAGTTGTCAGGGTTGCACGATCCTTGGGACACTCCATTGCGTGCTGAAGGCACGTTGGCTATTCAATTTTGCAATGATGCCAACAAGCAGGAATAAGCAACGCGATTGGATGTATCTTCGAGTTGCATGTGTACACGTGCGTATGTTTCGCTACGTTAGCCAGCGTGGCCCCAACACAGTGTGTTTCTGGCAGCAAATGCTGTGCAATCTGTGTTGTGCAGACTCTATGATGCAACCTATGTAGTGCAGCTGTCGAGTGTTCCTTTGCGAGTTGACAGTCCTATTGGTTGCGCAATCGTCCCACCTATCCACCCGAGACTTGGTGCAAAGCCCGTGCAGTAGCGATTGCGATGACTGCATGGAGGTGGCGGGCACATCGCCTCGGCCACGCAAGCGCGCGCAGGCTTGCGCGCAGAGTGGGCAGGCAGCCTGGCGCTGGGGACTTCCCAGCGCGTTTCGCTCGCCGCGTTGACGCGAGGGCACTTCAATGCGAGTCGGTGCTTCGGGCTGGCGCGGTATCAAGGCGACGTCGACAGCGGCAGACACGATGATGATAGCAGTTATAATGGAGACGATAACGGCAATGACGAGTGTAAGGCCGTTGAGGGTGCCGACTCTGATTGCGCCGGTGATGACGATCAAGTTGTCCACGTGTTGGCGCTGAAGGTTCTGGAGGATTTCGACACGCTCTCGCGGCCGACGGGCGCGAGTGGGCCGCATGGTGCTATTTGACAGAAAGCCGGTGTTCGATGCAGCCCAGCATGCGCGCGCGACGACGCGCGAGCTTGGGTTCTCTTGCAATGGATTTTGGTGAGAGATCTCGCGCGAATGCAATCATTTGACGAAGATGAGGGGGGATGTTGATGCCGGCCTGACTGGGATGACATAAACTCATGTGCGCCCTGAGTGACGGGGCGCGACCATGCGCGACCATGCGCAAGTTGCAATACGCTGGGCTGGTGGCATATACCCGGGGGCTGGGGTCGGGGGGGCGGCAAATCCGAAATCGCTTGTACAGGGGACAATCTGCGTGGTATAAAATATGTTGCGCGAGTGATGTTTGTTCGCAGTGGGTTGTCAACTCCGCCGGTCGCGCAACCGTCCCGCGTGCCCGCCCGCCACGTGGGAACGAAACCCATGCGGCGGCGATTGCTTGGCGTTGGCTTGCGCATCGCCGCTGGTGCGCTAGCGCGCGCAGGCTCGCGCGCAGAGCGGCCAGTTAGACTGGCACGGCCGACGCGGTGGGGGCGGCGTTGAATGCCGGGAAGCGCGTCCCCCAGGCCGCGTCGTCGCCCGGGCACCTCAGTGCGAATCGTTGAATCGGACGGGCGCGGCATCGCGGCGGCGTCGGCGATTGGGGGCGCGATGATATAGTGGCAGCGCAGGTAACGATCATGACGATTCGGGCGGCGACGAACGGCGGCGCCGACGCCGATCGCGCCGACGACCCCGATGGCGCCCGCGTTTCGGCGACGAAGGGTCCGTCTGGATTCCGGCGCGCGCGCACCCCCCAGCAAACGCGCAAAGGCGGCGTTCGAATGATTTCGACACGCGCGCGAGTGGCATGTTTGGCGGATTTGGTGGACGCGTAGAAGTTCCAAAACCATTGGTTTGCCGATTGGTTCCGGGGGCGTCGGCCATGCATCCCTTGCGACGCCCGCGTGGACGGCGCTGCTTCTTCCCAACCATCATGTGGTGATGGGTCTTCGTTTTGACGACACAGCGCCCCGCATCACCTCCTCCTCTTCCCGCTGCCTCCTCCCCTTCCTATTCCTTTTCGTCGTCTCCATCAGCATCATCTCGCCCGTTCTGGCACACCCCTCACAGGGAACTGCACCGAAGGCACCAATGGCACAGGCCACTTGCGGGGACCGCCACCCATTTTGGCACATTTTTCACACGGTTCGTGGCCCAACAAGGTGTTCCACCGAAGGCCCCAGTGGCACAGGCCGCATGCGGGGACCGCGCACATTTGGCACAGCTTTCGCGCGTTTCGTGGCCCCACAGGAAGCTCCACCGAAGGCCCCAGTGGCACAGGCCGCACGCGGGGACCGCACCCAATTTGGCACACCTTTCACACGGCTCGTGGCCCCACATGGAGCTCCACCGAAGGCCCCAGGTGCACAGGCCGCACGCGGGGACCGCACCCATTTTGGCACGCACCTCACACGATTCGTCTTTCCAGTGCTCAGCGGAATTTAAAATTCCATTGCCCCACGTGCTGACGACGAGCGCGCATATTAATTTCTAGCTACGTAAAAATTAATTAATATATAGAAAAAATTAATGCGGGCGCACGAGTGCTCGGCGCGCTGTGCGATCGTTGCATTATTATTATGAAGTTGCGTTGGGCCTCGCAATCACGCGTGGACTTTTCTATTGTGGACAGTACAGAACTCCCCAACATCCGTCGGCCTCCTTAAAGGGCCACATAAATTTCAAATTCAATTTTTGGAATCACATGTCGACTTTTCTATTGTGGACAATACAGAACTCCCCGACATCCGTCGGCCTCCTTAAAGGGCCGCAGAAATGTCAAAATCAGTTTTTGGAATCACATGTCGACTCTTCTATTGTGGACAATACAGAACTCCGCAACATCCGTCGGCCTCCTTAAAGGGCAACAGAAATTTCAAATTCAGTTTTTGGAATCACATGTCGACTTTCCTATTGTGGACAATACAGAAATCCCACGCGCGCGCGCGTCGGAGTTCTGAATTGTCCACAATACAGAGGGTGACCCGCGCGGGTCACCCTCTGTATTGTCCACAATAGAAGAGTCGACATGTGATTCCAAAAACTGAATTTGGATTTGTTTTGGAGTTTTGTATTGTCCACAATAGAAAAATCGACATGTGATTCCGAAAACTGAATTTGAAATTTCTGTGGCCCTTTAAAGAGGCCGACGGAAGTTGGGGAGTTCTGTATTGTCCACAATAGAAAAGTCTACATGTGATTCCAAAAACTGAATCGAACATGTCTGTGGCTAAGGAGGCCGACGGACGGACGGGGAATCGTTCGCGCCCGCGAGGGCACACATCATCATCATCATCATCATCAGCATCATCATCATCATCGCCATCATCATCAGGGTCAGTATTCATCATCATTCAGGTGGGCCGAAGGCTATTAGATGATCAAACAGAAGCGTCAAGAATTCGACAGTATGTGCTCGTCCTCGGGGGGGGCAGGGACAGAGAGAAAGAACACGACGCGACGACGATGGAGCGGCGACGGCGGCGGCGGCGGCTGTTTCGGCCGCGCTCCCCTGCTGGTCGTTTCGGCCGGCGGCGGCGGCGGCGGCGGCGGCGGCGGCGAGACGTCGACGGCAACGGCGACGGCGGTGCACTTGGGCGGCGCGCGCGGGAAGGGAGGGCGCTCCTCCTGTCCTTGTCCTCCGCCCATTCCTTTTTTTTTTTTTTTTTTTTCTCCTGGCCCCCTCCTCCCCGTCGTCGTCGTCCTCATCATCCCCCTCCTCTTCTTCCTCCTCCCCCCTCCCGAACAACTTCACCATGATGTCTCCTTCCTCCCTCCGCCATCGTCCTGATTCCATTCATCGGCATTCGTGCCTCCGCCACTTCCGTCTGCGCCTCCTCCGCTTTCTCCTCGCCGTCGTCCGAAGATGCCCGCTCTGACGTCCGAGGATGCCCGCTTCTTCTGCGCCTCCCCCGCTCTGACGTCCGAGGATGCCTTCCTACATTTCTCTGACGTTTCCAGGCCTCCAGAGGCCTTTGCTGCCGGGGGCCTCCAGGGACATCCAGGGACATCCGGCGACCTCCAGGGACCTCCAGGG